GACTGTTATCATAGGAACATTGGTTTTACAGAGCCTCTTTCTCTCTTCGTTCCTGATGACACAGAAGATGGTCTTTATGAGATTCTTCTGAGATATCAAGCAAACCCAAAGCTATATTCTTCTGTTCTTAGGTGTGTGAAATTAGATTTTCATGAAATCAAAGAAAATCAGGCTCCCCTCACTGTCCAATTTAATTTTCTTTTGTCGTTCTTTTTTTCAGGGTAATCCTTAAGCCTTTCTACAGGGCAAGAAGATGGCTTGATGAATTATCAATTGCTTTTCAGCCATTATTTGAGAAATACTATGAGAAATTATTTGATCTAAGGTTACTTCAGATGAAACAATGTAAACAAGGGATAATTGATAACATTCAGCCTCATATTGCTCCATCATTGGATGAGATAATCAAGGTTTCCACTCTCCAACCACAAGAAGACAATACTGGGAAAGTCTTCACTGAAAAGAGAAGTGCAAGGAAATTTCATGTGAACAGAGCATATAATGGCTTAGATTTTCATGTCCCTATCTGCGAAGTATCTTTTCCTATAGCATTTCTTGCTTCAAGGAACCCTCCTACCCTTGATTCAGTCATGTTTGATCCCACTGGAGACCTCAGTAACAAGAAACGCAAGAGTAAGTCAAAAGTCTCTCTTTCCTCCATGGCCTATTATCTATTTATCTGCAGATATTGACCTCTTTTAATTGACACCAACAACATTAATTTCTTAATTTCTATCCTGGAATAGCGAGGCATCTAGACAAGAAAAGGACCACAATTCGCAAGCCATGCTTGTGACGTGACTAGGTACTTTTTCATTGGAGAGACTGTAGGTCATCTTCCAATGCATCACTTACATCACAAATTGATATTTGTCAAAGCTAGATTTATGTGTTTTAATTAGTTTTATTATTTGATTTTATTTTGTTAACTTGTAGAATAAATATAGGATATATTGTTAATTTTAAAAGTCTGAAGTTAGAATACTGTGTAATTTTTTATTATTAAAGTAAAAATAATAAAAATAAACATTCGTCCACCTGTTGGCAAGTCGACACTCAGCAATTGACTCGGAGAGGGGATAGTGTTCGAGTGAGTAGACCCAGACTAAGGGAGCCACGAGTTGGGCTCGAGTGACAAAGGCCTCACTTTACACACATGTGCATTGCTCCCCTTCCACGTCCTAGTGGCCAACCGGTTGTGAGGCAAGGAGTGCTCGTACACATGTGCATGTGCAAGGGCAGACCACCTTATTGCCTTCTCTCAAGATGGTCCTAGATATTATTTTATTTCGAGAGAAGGGATCTTTGCTGAGAAACATAACTTTAGTTTATATTCGGCATATGTTCCAAAATATTTCCGATGTGAGACTAAACGTTTTCATCCGTTTCAGTGCAACCATATGGAGCGTGGTGTGATCTAGTGGTACGCAGAGAGTCACGTCATCTGATTTGCCTGATCTTGCGGCTAGCGAACCGCCACGATACTAGATGTATAAAGTGATCTATTGGCGGTTCGCGAATCTGATGTCGGTCAACACGCACATAGCCTTAAAGGCCAATCTAATGGCTATGGAGGCGCCACGGTACTAGGAACTTAAGTTCTCACATGTATCACCATCAAAAAGATAAAGATGATAATCGATCATTGTCTAGTAAAATCGATATTATCGATTATCTTTAAAACCCTGATAATAATTGTGAATATGACAATCCGTTCTTCCCTCTTTTTGCACGATTGACGTCTTTGATGATCGGCAACCTTCTTCCTTCCTTTCTTGACTACACCAAAGGCCTCTGGCGGGTGGCCAACTTTTCCCTTCTTTCCCTAGATGACGGTGATAGCATGGTCGACCCTTCTTTCAGTGGATTTCTCCAGCAAGCAGCATAGTGTTTCCAGATGATACTTCTGCGACTTCCGGTGTGGTGTGGCATGGCCGGACGAAACCAAGCTGCGACACGAGTGTCTTCAGTTGCCCAAGAGGTAGACTAAACTTGGGCAATGATTTATTTCTTACTTTCAGCATTTATTTACCTACTTTTGTCATTTATTTAAATTTTATAGCAAGCTATTTTCGTTTCATACACGTTTTGATTAAAATAAGTAGAACTAATTCAAAAAAAGATAAATGATCTTTCTTTTTCTTCTGAATCCTTTAAACTTATCTAAGAACAAGCTAAGATCATTTCCAACTTATTTTCTATTGATTTTGACAGTCAAATCTTGACATATTCACGTTCCCGGCGTTCTGCAAATAACAAGTATTTTTTTGTTTTCGAATGAGAAATCACCAAAATTAAAGGCTGATTAATGAACGTTCAACAGTGAAAATAAGTTGGAGACATTCATGACTGACCTCATGACATTTGTGTGAATCCTCAAGCACACATTCGTCCAAGAAAACAAGTTGACCGTATTTTTCTCTTCCTTTATTTTCATCTTATTTCTTTCTCTCCTTCTCTCGTGAGACCTCTCCTCTCTCTCCATCTCTTGTGAGATCTCTTCCTTTTCTCCACTTCCCTTCTTTTATTTTTCTCGCCTCACCCTTCTATTTTATTTTTTCTGTTAAGTATTAATAAAATATTAAAATCACTTTATATATAAATTAAATTAGTTTTCATGACGGATTAATCAATATCTCTATATTTAACTTGAGACCTACTTCTATACTAGTATTTTATTAAGTCTTAGTTATAAATATTATTAGATAGTATGTATTTAAACACAATGACAAATGCAAACCATCTTTTTGGCGCCATTGTTGGGGAGATCTATTTTTAATCAGTGTTAATTGATTTAGTTTTATATGTTTCAGTGATTTAGAAAATAGCTTTCATTATTTCATTATTTTTATTCAAATAGTATTTCGAAAAATAAAAAATATAAAAAAGGTTTATTAGGCTCATTTGATTTCTATTTTTCTTTCATAAGTTAGAATTTTAAATCTTTAGTTTCTATTTTATTTACTTGAGTATTTTAATTTTTCATTTATTCTATACTCTTTGACATATTTATTAGAATCATATCTTCATGGCATGATTATTGCTAGATTTAAATTCTAAAAAACTGATTTATGAACAGTAGACGCAGTTGGCAACCAATCTTAGAAAATCGAGCTACCAACCAATTTAAGAATTTAGGGGCACAAGAAAAACGAAATTTACCACCCATATTAGAGACTCGAGCAATAGAAAAAAGAAAAAACTCATCTTCTATTGAAATAGAATCACCTAAGATGGATCATCTAGCTTAAGAGAGTGAGAATGATGAAAACACTCAATCTTATAAACTGATGCATGATTATTATACACCTGATTTATATAGACCTACTTTACAAGATAGACCTCCTATTTTGCCAAATTTTTATTTTGATATTCGTCATAACACTCTACAAATACTTTTTGAATTTTGTGAGTTAGCTAATGAGGAACCACATCAAAATATTCTTTGATTTTTAGCTGCATGTGAACTATTCATATTCCTAATATTCCTCAAGATGCACTTAGGTTACGCCTCTACTCATATTCATTGCATGATAAAGCTAGAGATTGACACACATCTTTACCACATGAGATCACCACATAGTTAGAAGTAGAGCAAGTATTTTTGAGAAAATTCTATCCTGTTGGCAAGACTTATGCCATGTGGAAAGCCATTATCTAATTTACTCAAAAATCAGGAGAAACATTTCATGAATCTTGGGAAAGATTCAAGGAGCTTCAAAGGAAATGCCCACATCATGGAATTACCAAGTGACAATTAAATCGTGTATTTTATGATGGTGTATCTGAACAGCATAAGAACATGATAGATACAACATGTGGAGGGAGGCACATTCATGAGTAGGGATGAGGATGAAATTTATAAATTATATGAAAATTTGAGTGAGAATTCAACTGAACGTGAATCTTTTGCTTTACATGATCGCAACAATAGTGAAAAGAAAAGAGGAATATTTAAGGTTAGAAATGATGATGTATTAGACATTAGAAATGAAGTTAGTGAGGTTCATCAAAAGTTGAATGTTTCATTTGATCATTTGCTACATAAAAAAGAACCTACATAGCTTGTACAACATTCATATTCTAGATGTTCATCATGTTGTAGGACTGATCATTATGAATCTCAATGTAAAAATTTAGATCAAGAGTATGCACATGCACTTCATGATCATAGGAATCAATCAAATCCTCTTTGAAAAAATCAGAATATTTTTTCAAAATTTTAAAATCATGATATGAATTCTCAATCATTTCTTAAACCTAATCATACATTTATACCTCCTCATCAACCATAATATAATGTTAGCCCTCTTTTTAACAAAATACTAATAATTTCCAGCAAGGTACTCATCAGCCACCAGCCCAAAATTTCATCCCTTCTTCTTCAAGTTCAGTCCCCAATTTTAGCCCACAATATCTTAATTCATTTTAAAATCAATTTGATATGAATGATAATTTGATGAAACAATTTATGAGACAAATGATGCAGTAATTTCAGGAAACAAGTATATCTATGATGAAGATGATAAAGCAAATCAGGCAAAAAAATCAGCAAAGAACCCTTAGGGTAGAAAAAGAGAAGTAAACTAGCCTTGGCCCACTCAAAATGTGAAATAGGTCATCTTTCTAGTCAACCCATCATGAACCCACGAAATCAACCTTCTAATAGCCATGAACCATCTACATCTCAAGGTTTTGAAAATGTAGAAGTAGTGACCACTTTGAGGAGTGGAAAGTAACTCAAAGATCCATATGCACTAGATTTGTTAGGAAAATAGGTTCATGATGATGAAGTGCTGAATGATGATGATAATGATCATGATAGTTTATTTTCTGATGATGAGAATTTAGAACAGGAAAAACAAGAATCAAAAGAAGAAAAATCAAAAGTACTACCCATTCCCATTTTATCACAGCAAGATGAACTTAGAAAAACAGTCCCCTTTCCAAAGGCATTAGAACCAAAACTTAGGAAAAGAGTTGAACCTAATGAAGAGTTTATGGAAATATTTGAGCAAGTTCATATCTCTATTTCTTTGATATATGCAATCAAACATATACTTGCATATGCAAAAAATTTAAAAGAATTATGCACACCTTGTAGGTCACCTCAGAAGATAGCTTTATTCGAAGAGGCTAATGTTATTATTTCTCATTCTTTGCCTAGGAAATGTAAGGATATAGGAGCATCTCTTATCTCATGTAAAGTGGGTGAAACTTTATTTAGAAATGTGCTCTTAGATTTGGGAGCAAGTGTTAATTTATTATCTTTGGCTGTTTTTGAAAATTTTGAATTAGGAGAACTAAAACCAACTTTAGTAAAACTTCAGCTAGTTGATAGATCTATTAAAACACCTAGGGGTTTCCTAGAAGATGTCATTATTCATGTTAAAGGATGTACATATTTAGTAGATTTTCTGATTTTAGATATTCCTACTTTAGATAATCTTACTCATGCACCAATCATATTAGGATGCTCATTTCTTGCCATAGCCAAAGCAAATATTGATTGCAAAAATACGATTATAAATATGAAATCTGAAGGTCAAAACATCTCTTTAAATGCTTTTAAAAGTTCAAGATTTCCACATGAAGATAATGATAATTATGAAGATATTGATGTAATTGATTCATGCATAGAAGAAATGAATTATGTTTAGCAAGCTGATCAATTAATTCTTCCATTTCATGTTCATGCATTAGATCAAAAATATTATAGAAAAGAGGCATTAGATCATGACATAATATTTATAGAATCATCTTTAGAGAATCCCTCAAGTTTATAATTAAAACCTCTTCCTCATTTATTGAAATATATTTTTCTTAGACCAAACCAAACTTTACCTGTGATTATCTCTACCTTATTGACTGCTGAACAAGAAAAGAAAATATTAGAGGTTTTACAAGAACATAAGAAAGCAATAGGGTGGATGATGGCTGATCTCAAGGGGATCAGCCCATCAATTTGTATGCATAGAATATATATAGAAGATAATTCGAAATCATCTAGGGAAATGCAATGTAGGCTGAACCCAAACATGAAAGAAATGGTAAAGAAAGAAATCATTAAATGGTTAGATGCTGATATTATTTATCTTATTTCTGATAGTCAATGGGTCAGCCCAACACAAATAGTTCCAAAGAAAGCTGTATTGACGGTGATCAAAAATGAAAAAGGGGAAGAATTACAAACAAGAATCACCACAGGATGGAAAGTATGCATTGATTACCGCAAGCTAAATGCAGTGACAAAGAAGGATTATTTCCCTTTGTCATTTATTGATCAAATTCTAGAAAAACTTGCAGGACAAAAATATTTTTGTTTCTTAGATAGATTTTCAAGATATAATCAAATAGCAATATTTCTAGAAGACCAAGAGAATTTTTTTTTCACATGCCCATTTGGAACACATGCATTTAAATGCATGCCCTTTGGTTTATGCAATGCACCTGCCACATTTTAGAGATGCATGATGTCTATATTTACTAAAATGATTGGTTACTTTCTAGTAAGTCTTCATAGATGATTTTTCAGTATTTGGTGATTCATTTGATATATGTCTAAATAATCTTAAGAAAGTACTTAAGAGATGTGAAGAAACCAATCTAGTTCTTAGTTGGGAGAAAAGTCATTTCATGATTAGAGAAGGTATTGTTTTAGGACATATTGTGAGTGAAAGAGGAATAGAAGTAGATAGAGCAAAAATTGATTCTATTATTAATTTACCTCCACCTACGTTTCTTTGTCAAATTAGATCATTTCTAGGACATGCTAGTTTCTATAGAAGATTTATCAAAGATTTTTTGAAAATTTTTAGACCTCTTATAGCCTTACTTGCTAAAGATATCACTTTTGATTTTGATGAAGCATGTTTAGAAGCTTTTTCTATACTTAAGAATGCATTGACCAAGGCACTTATTTTACAATCACCCACTTGGTTAATTCCTTTTGAAATCATGTGTGATACTTCAAATCGTGCATTGGGTGCTGTTTTAGGTCAACAAATTGATAAGAAACCAGTGGTAATTTATTATGTAAGTAGAACTATTCCTGATGCACAAATAAATTATACCACTATGGAAAAAGAATTACTTGCAGTAGTTTTTGCCTTAGAAAAATTTAGATCTTCTATCTTAGGATCTAAAGTTATTGTATATTCAGATCACACAGCCACAGGATATTTGTTGACTAAGAAAGAAACAAAACCACGTCTACTTAGATGGATCTTATTATTGCAAGAATTTAACTTAGAGATTCGGGATAAGAAAGGTATAGAAACTGTAGTAGCTGACCATTTGTCTAGAATTGAAGGGCAAGAAAAGGTTGAATTAAATGATTTATTTCTTGATGAACATATTCTTGCCTTACATAGTAAGCTCACACCATGGTATGCACATATAGTTAATTATTTAGCAATTGGAAAAATCCCATCATATTGGCTAAAAGATGAATGCGAACGATTCTTTGCTTGCATTAAATATTATTTTTTGGATGACCTTAATTTATTTCATCTAAGTTCAGATCAAATTTTACGAAGATGCATTCTTGAAGAAGAACAATTTCAAATTTTAGAACATTGTCATTCTTATGGATGTGGGGGTCATTTTGCAAGCAAGAAAATAGCAACAAAATTTTTACAATGTGGTTTCTATTGGCCATCTTTATTTAAAGATGCTCACACATTTTATAAGCACCGTATCAAATGTCAGGTTGCCATTAATATTCAAAAAGGAATTGTAATGCCTTTAAAATCAGTAATTGTTGTTGAAATTTTTGATGTTTGGGGCATTGATTTTATGGGACCCTTTCTTTCATCTCGAGGCTGTGAATATATTTTGTTAGTTGTTGATTATGTGTCAAAGTGGGTAGAAGCTATTCCAACAAGAACAAATGATCATGAAGTAGTTATCTAATTTGTCCAAAATAATATTTTTACACGATTTGGATGTCTTAAAGTAATAATTAGTGATGGGGGAACTCATTTCACTAATCATCACTTTAAGATGTTACTTAGAAAATATGGTGTTAATGATGCATTATGGGCATATAGGACAGCATACAAAGCTCCTTTAGGTGCATCACCTTATAGATTAGTTTATGGAAAATCATGTCATTTACCAGTGGAAATTCAACATTGTGCATATTGGGCTATTAGGAAGCTTAATATGGATACAAAAAAATCAGGCCATAAGAGACTTTTACAATTGCATGAATTAGATGAAATTCGTAATGAAGCTTATGAGAATTCTCTTATTTATAAGGCTAAAGTTAAGGATTTCCATGATAAGTATATTACTAGAAAAAATCTAGAATCAAGACAAAAAATTTGGTTGTACAATTTTAGATTAAAATTATTTCCTGAAAAATTAAGATCTAGGTGGGATGGTCCATATCTTCTTGAGACTATTGATCAATATGGAGCAATAATGATCAAAGATCTGAAAACAAGTGTAAGTTTTAAAGTTAATGGGTATCGGCTCAAAATATACTGAGAACTTGAATAAGAAAAAGAAATTGAAAGAGTAGATTTCTTAGAATTGATCTAAGCTTACATGTGTTCGGCTGAAGACACTAAACTTATCACTGATTGGGAGGCAACCCAATAATTTTAGTGTTGCAGAATTTAATTTGTGTTTTTTAGTTAATAAACTTAGAATTTCGTTGCTGATTATTTTAATTTCAGTAGTACCTCATACATTTATGTTTTATCATGTTATACTTGCTGATTTATGAGTATATATCTTTTGCTGTGCAGTTTAATTTGATAATATATTTCATGTCATTCTAGACAATTCCGATTTTAATTGGGGGGAGCAAAGAAAATTCAGTTAGATTTATTTCATAAATAATTAGCATAGAAGGAAAATTTAAAACGAGTATTGATGAATTCATAGATTTCTATATTTTTCCTATAAGATGGTAAATTCATTTAAGTATGAAGGTTAAAGTGTGCTAGATTTAGTGACTTCAAGTGATAGAAAAAAAATGTAATACATTGAAGGATGAAATATTTTCAGACTATATCTTGATGATCATGATCATATGTTATGAATTGACATTTTGAATTAGTAGGAATCATGAAGTTAGATGTGATGAGGTTGAAATTGTATAAAATTATTGGAAGCTAGACATTCTTAATATGAGAAATCCTAAGTAGTTGACCATTTGTCTTATATATATAATCAAATCACTATATGGTAGAGTGTAAGACCCAACTCACGAAAAAAATATATATGGGGATTTCTCACTTGTCCCATAGAGACTTTTGTATATGTGAGACTAGGACAAGATGTAAAATAAAAAATAACTAAAAGTGAGTGCAAATGCTTCTATGGGGATTTCCCACTTGTCTCATGGAGGCTTTCCACATGTGAGATTTAGACATGAAAAATAAGCTATATGGGCAAAGCTACCTACTTATGATGTTTATAATAATAATAATAATAATAATAATAATAATAATAATAATACTAATAATAATAATAATAATAATAATAATAATAATAATAATAAAGAAGAGACAAATGGAATACGCTACTTGGGTGCACGAATCTAGAATGAAAGTTAAGATGAATATTTTTTGAAATAGTTCATTTGGATATGGAAACATTTTTTTTTGTTGATCTTGTAGGAAACTATTTCGAATCACATGAACATCTGAATATTTATTTGAATGCCATCTCTAGTGAAAAAATGAGAAAATAAATAATTCATGTAAAATAATTAATAAATAGTTTTAACTTTGTAAGTTTTTTGCTTATTGCTAGGGACTAGCAAATTTCAAAGTTGGGGGTATTTCTTAAAGCTAGATTTATGTGTTTTAATTAGTTTTATTATTTGATTTTATTTTGTTAACTTGTAGAATAAATATAGGATATATTATTAATTTTAAAAGTCTAAAGTTAGAATACTTAGCGTAATTTTTAATTATTAAAGTAAAAAATTTAAAATATAAAAATTCTTCTGCCTATTGGCAAGCTGTCACTTGGCAACTGACCTAGAGGGGGAACAATAGTCGAGTGGGTAGACCTAGACTAGGGGAGCTACGAGTTGGGCTCAAGTGGCGAAGGCCTTGCTCTGTGCATGTGTGCACCACTCCCCTTCCACATCCCGGTGGCCAACTGGTTGTGGGGCAAGGAGTGCCCATACACACGTGCATGCACGAGGGCAAACCACCTTATTGCCTTCTCTCAAGATGGTCCTAGACATTATTTTATTTCGAGAGAAGGGATCTCTACTAAGAGATATACTTTTAGTTTATATTCGGCATATGTTCTGAAATATTTCTGATGTGGGGCTAAATATTTTCATATGTTTTAGCGCAGCCATCTGGAGCACGGTGTGATCTAGCGGTATGCAGATAGCCACATCATCCAATTTACTTAATTCTGCGACTCGCAAACCACCACGATATCAGATGCATAAAGTGATCCATCAGTAGTTTGTGAATCTGACACCGCTCAGCACGCACATGGCCTTAAAGGCTGATTTGATAGGTATGGAGGTGCTACGGTACCAAGAACAATAGTGACAGTGTGGTCAACCCTTTTTTCAGTGGATCTCTCCAGCAAGTAGTGTAGCATTTCCGAATGATACTTCTATAACTTCCAGCGTGGTGTGGCACGGCTGAACGAAACCAAGCCACCACACCGGTGTCTCTAGTTGCCCAAGAGGCAGACTAAACTTGGGCAACGATTTATTTCTTATTTTCAGTATTTACTTACCTACTTTTGTCATTTATTTATATTTTACAGCAAGCTATTTCCGTTTCATGCACATTTTGATTGAAATGAATAGAACTAATTCAAAACTTGATAAATGATCTTCCTTATTCTTTTGAATCCTCTGAAACTCGTCTAAGATTAAGTTAAGATAATTTTCAACTTGTTTTCTATTGATTTTTGTAGTTGAATCAGGTTCCCAATATTTTACAAATAATGAGTATTTTTTTATTTTCGAATGCAAAATCACTATGATTAAAGGCTGATTAATGAACGTTCAATGATTAAAACAAGCTGGAGACATTCACGGCTGACCTCATGTCACGTGTGTGAATCTTCGGACACAAATTTGTCCAAAAAAATGGGTTGATCGTATTTCTCTCTTCCTTCATTTTCATCTTATTTCTTTCTCTCCCTCTCTCCTGAGACCTCTCTTCTCTCTCTATCTCTTGTGAGATCTCTCCCTTTCTCTCTTCTCTCTCTCTTTTCCTCCTTCCTTTTCTCTACTTTCCTTCTTTTATTCTTCTCACCTCATCCCTCTATTTTATTATTTCTGTTGAGTATTAATAAAATATTAAAATCACTTTATATACAATTAAATTTGTTTTCACGATAGATTAATCACTCTCTCTATGTTTGACCTAAGACTTACTTCTATACTAGTATTTTATTAAGTCTTAGTTATAAATATTATTATATAGTATACATTTAAACACAACGACAAGTGCACACCAATATCCTGAGGGGCAAACACTTGATAATCAGGTGTATGAAGATGAAGGGAGAGGTATTACATCAGTTGTTCTACTACAATTGACTTGTGTATGCAAAGCTAATTTTATTAGGAAAAGTACGAGCTGCTCCTTGGAGGGCTTTACTAAGTACCGATAGATTGTAGACGAGAAAATTTATCCTAGGTGCCTACTTTATCCCAACTGAAATCATCCCCTTCTTTCGGACCTCTCCTTTTCCTGCATTATGATGCCATTTGAAATGGTCAACAGATCGCAAGGAGTATATGCATCCCTCTCTCCAAGTCCCTCTATAGAGGATACGCCACCAGAGACAAAAGAAGCTCGTCTACCTGAGTAGGAGGTGAGTGGCATAACTGTGTGTGGCTCCTCCACTTTCTTCTTGTGCAACCAAGGAACGTTTGTTATATTTATATATATAAAGTTGATGGCTTTTCTGTTGACTGCAGGATATCAAAGGAACGCCCGGTTCCCTTCATGGAGGAGTGAGAGCAATCCAAAAGGTCGAATATGAGCGGGTGTGGGCTCAGAAACTATCTCTATCATTGATTTACATCCAACCCCATGGGGTCATGGAAACTGTGTACGGAGCGCTGTAGTGACAGTTGCATTGATTCGTCAAAGAAATCTGCACATTTGATGATTTTCTCACAAATTGGTGGAGGCGGCGAATTTAGCGATTAGTTTATCTCCACGAGTCATTTCACTATACTTTTTCCCGTTTGTTAGCTCAGAATTTGGCAGTGACCGTTGGGCGAGTCGGCCTTAACACAGGTCAGTTAATTAAAGGTATCAATGGAGATGGGTGCAGTGGTAACGGGCTCCGTTGATGATGAATGTGGCTCTCATGGACCCTTACATCCTCCAATGTCTGCCAGTACGTCCCTTGACCTTACCTGATAAACCCATACATTCAAGGAAGACTTGAAGGCGTAGGGGATGGAAGATCCTGGATAACAGGCGGAACAGCCACTGTCAAGGAACGTGCATGGGCTTAGACCGACTGAGTTTTATGTTCACTCTGGGCTCCCCCTTTGATGATGAACAAAATGGGGGAGATGATCAGCCTGAGTCATGAGATGGAAAAAAGGAAGGAAAGCATTTCCAAGGCTTCATTCCATAATTAACTAGTTTAATGAGAGCAGTTAAGTGAACATAGTCGTGAGAACGGCTCACCTTCGGTCGTCATTCATTCTTAGTCTAATCAAGAATCTCTATAATTGAGATAATCGACTGATTACAAATCCCTTAACTGTGTATGGCAAATTTGCATAGGTCGCAACTCAGAATTGAATGCATGTTAATGATGGGGGGAACTTGGGTAGGTAGAAATTATACCTTGAATCCGCGAGGAATGATATCTGGAATTTTCAAATGCACGGCATGATGAGCCGCCCTGAATTCTCCAGGAGGATATGAAAGATTATTTCTGTATTCGTCGGAAAATGTCTCCATTTTACGGTCCATGGCTCATTAAACAGGCCATGAAGTAGTTGTATATCCATTGAAGGCTGAAAGTAGGAAAATTCCTAGATAAAACGCAGTAACTATTGTTGTGACTACTCAAAGAAAGCGTGTTTTTATGGCTAATGGGCAACCAATATAAGTCTTAGTACGGCCTTCAACATCTTACTGTTTTGCGTCTTTATTAGCCTGCTGAGCCGTTTGAAACTTTTGACATGCATCTTTTGAGCCTTCTTGTTTCCTACAAATGTGTAAGGAAGAAAGGAAATAAGAAAAAATATGTATGACAATCAAAGGAATTGTAGAAAATCTAATGACGGATGGAGCTTGCACCAATTGACATGTCAATATTTTTTGGAGACTCTCCACACGTGCTCTTGTTCTTGACGGCCTTTCCTCATACGACCAGGCAATTTTGTGAGGAGAGAGGGAGAAGTCACCGATGACATTTTTTTAATTGTTATTACGAAAAAATTGTTGAAATACCTTTAGATTTAATTGTTATTCTCGTGTTATACGCATATTTTTGGCATGCAAGTTCTTAAGTGTGGTGGGTTTAGATCTCCTGAAGATGCGATATTCATATTGCAAGAAGACTGAGACCGCAAGTATCTGTGTCATAATAGTCGGCCATTTTCAGGGAGTCCATGAGTTTTAGAACTTGTATCCTTGATCTGTCGTCGCCGCCGATGATCGCTAAGCTATCCGCCTATCGCGTCCCGATCCTTTGACAGCGGCCCTCGGGAACCGGGTAGCACAGTCAACGCCCCCAAATCGGGGGTTCGTGGTGGTACGTTATTGTCACGTGCGCTTGAGGTGATGTTGAAAAGTAGGGCGGCCGAAACACTAAACTGGCGGGACAGCAGATGATAACAGCCGTGAGAGACATGGATGATGCTCCTGTCAAATCGTCGAATCCGTCCAGGCATCTCTCGCTTCCACGGCGTGTTCAAGCTGGCTGGAAACCCATAAAGGCAGACACTAGGCGCCACCGACTGCCCCGAGCCGCCAGCTGTCCGTTTCGAGCCGAAAATAGCGAATTACGCGGTATAACAGCTTGCATGAGACCCCAGCCCCCGGTCTGCAACCTGGTTTTGTAAGTTCCGATCAGACGGCCTGGGTTTGGTACGCAGCGCTAGTGGGAACACTGTTGCAGCTCGTCACAAGGCCTGTCTTGTCTCCGGTGACAGCTGGAAGGTACCCGTCCCCACTCGCCCTCCGGCGACGCACGCGACGGGGAGAAGGGCTTCTCAGGGTTCGTAGGCGGTGCTCCAGAACTGCCGCCGGGTGCGCCGGTCGAGGATCAGGAGGAGCACCTGGTTGCTGGTGCACCGTGGGGTCTTGAACTGCCCCAAGGTTCCCCCATTGCCTACAAAGCAGTCCAGTATCTTCTTGAAGGTGCCCCTCTCCACCACCCGGAGCTCCAGCGGTCCGATGGAGCCACATCGCCTCGACACCACGTAGCCGTAGTCGGTGAATGCCAGGTCCATCACTCGACAGCACTCCTGCAGCACATCTTCGTCCGCCTCCCCCTTCACCTCCCAGTAGACAACGTAGTGCCCTCGCTTCTGCGCGCCGTCTCCGACGATCGCGTGACTGGTGAAATCGATCAGTTCGGATCTCGCTCCGGCCAGCAAGCGAGAGGCCTTCTCCACGGCCAGCTGCAAGTCTTTCTCCGTGCTCTTGTCGATGTTCACGGTGAGGATGAGCTTCCTCCGGCAGACGAAGCTCAGTTGGGGGGAGCCCTTGTAGAAACTCGTCACCTCCACCACGTCTCCGAGCTTGTACCTGTACAGTCCTGCGACATGGAGAAATCGAGACGAGTTGCTCAAGCATTGGATGATAATACCAGGATCTGTATGTGAGAGAGGCACACGGGGAGATACACATGCCATTAACGTGAAAAGCAGAGGTCGAATGCAGATCACTGGATAATGACGTGTCTCTAGGGCTCATGCTGCTCGGGAAGACACCCACGCCATATGTCAGAGACTCATCACACACAAAGGAACCGTCCATTAAGGCATTTAAAAGTGTTCACTCTAAATCCTCAAATTAGTTTTCGGTGAGACGAAACGAGGAGATGCGTCAGCCAGGGGCCACCTGGCCGTCACGTCTACATTAATGAAGGCCGGGATACGATTAAAAAAGCAATAAACGAGGAGATTTAAGAATCCCAGAAGATGTTTCTGTATCAGGCAACTGTGAGCAAGAAAGGTGCAAATCGGGATAGCACACGGAAGGTGGGCAAAAATGATATGTCGGAAAGAGAAGAAGTGACGAGGGTTCATGAAACATCTTCTGGGAACTTAAGGAATTCTTCCCTTGTACTGAGGCCGTTCGTTTCAAAACCCCTTATACGATTGTCCTCACTGGAAGGACTCGCTAATAAGGCAATTACGAATTCATCTTAGCGTGGCCTATATGAAGTCAAACAAAGTCGAGGAGTCATGGCGCAGTGGGAGAGCAAAGGTCGATGACAGAAACAGGTGGTCTCTCTCTCTCTCTCTCCCTCGGCCCCCCACCCACCGCCATCCATCCTTCGACAACCTCGTCGCCGCTAGTGTTAGGGGATGCATATCTAATGCGCATTTTTTGAAGGTTGTCTGGGGTGTCAATGGCAGAAAGAAACGGCTACCTTCGCCCGTTTCCAAATCTTCAGGTGGAGAGGTGCAGCCCAACTTCAGATTTTTCGTTCCCATTTTCGTTGCTGTGTGGTATGAATTGTGGGACGGTAAAAGAGTGAATGACGGAGGAACGAGTATCGAACCTGTGAAGGTGGTGAGGACGAGCTCGTATTCCTGGCCCACCTTGACCTTGCTCAGGGGCACCGGTTCATCTTCCACAAAATCGTCGGCAACCCTAGGGTCCACGGCTCCTGATCCCTCAGTCCACCCAAGTTGGTTCGCGTGCTGCAGCGGGTGCCTTCTCAGACGTATAAACTCAAAGTAAGCGAGGGTAGGGATCACCGTGAAAGTGACCCTCTCTGGCGGATTGGATGGCTCCAGGTTCACACCAATCCAGCTCTCAGAGGAACCATAATCAGCTCCCACAAGTGGGAGGCTTCCCGCGTAGTGCCGCAGTTTCTTCAGATACGGCAGCATCGATCCGGTCATGATGGAGTAGATATACTTGGCGTTGGGCCACAGCGCCGGGACTACGCCCTGCCAGTCTACCGCCTGGAGTTCCTTGCACGTGGATTTAATCCTGCGAGCGAGAGACGGGTCGGGGGATACTACCTCAAGGACGGCCCTCCGGACGTTGGGGGAGGTGACTTTCACCTGGCTGAGGCCTCCGGTTTTAATGTCCTGGCAAATCTCCGGCCACAGCTCCTCCAAGGCCGCGAAGGCTTGGACTATGCTGTAGGCAAAGGTGGAGGTGACGAACTCGACATGGTCGCAGTGGACAAGGCCGAGGAGGAGGTGGCAGTAGGTAGTCTGTTTGTAGTCCCCGGCAAGGATCGTCTCCCGCGGGCTACAAGTGAAGGACTTGGTGGTTCTCTGCTTGATCTTGAACTCCTCGCTTGCGTAGAAGTGGGTGGTGGCCGTGCCCACAGTGACGCCGCCTCTCGTCTGGTGCCGCTGGCTGCCGTAGATGAATTCCAGAATCCTACCCCCTGCTCTGATGGGGAAGACCCTGCTCAACGCAACAGACATAAGATAGATGATCAGATCGATTATGAGATGTGCGGTTGGACTTTCTAATGCTCTGGGTGGGGGGTGGGAAATGTTGCTTTTGGCTACAGACCTGGCTCTGTGGGCTGCTGCTAGCTTGAAGAGCTGAAGGGTGGACGCCGCAACCATATGACCGAATTAGTAGAGAAGATTCAGATACCTGAGAGAAATGGTGGCGATAGTATCCCTTGTGAGGATGGGGCTGGCGTCGCCGTCGACGATTCTCTGAATATAAGGTTCAAAGTCTGCATGGGAGGCGAGGGGCACCAGAGAGCTGTAGACTGTCTCTAGCTCCTCTAGCTCCAGGTCCTCAAGGCGAAGGTCCTCCCCCAGCCACCTTCTCAGGTACTCCGTACCCCGGTTGATCTCAATGATGCGCCTCAGCGTCTCTGCCTGCACGAAACCGGCCTTCTCCGCCACCCGGTCGAACCACCCCGTAATGTCGTCGTCCTGGGAGGTCGGTTCCCCCGTTCTCTCGTTCCCGTCACCAGCGAAAAATGCCTCTCTATGGCTGGTCATGCCGATCGTGGGGCGGCCGTCGTCCTGGGCGGCCGGTTCCGCCGCTGCGTCGTGTACATCACCGGGTAAGGGGGCGTCACTCTGGCGCATCATGAAGTATTTGATAGAGAGGTAATAGTCGTCTGGGAGGATCGGTTCTGCCGCTGCCTGGTGCCCATCACTGGGAAACGGGGCGTTTCTCTGGTAGAACGATTCTTTCTCTGTGTCTCTGTGTCTCTGTGTCTCTCTCGCTCGCTCTCTCTTGTGCTTTCACGCCCTCTTCCCGGCCCTTCTCTCGGTGCCTATATATTTGTTTCTCCAATACCTCGCACCCAGGCACTTCGCTTCTATATTTGTAAAGAAAGAAGCCCACCAGTTGGGTGAAGGGAGGGGAAAAGAAAAATATCTTCCTGAACAAGCGGGGAAGCAAAGAGGAGGTCAATCCATGAGTCCCATTCAGTCATCTCCCCGATTTCATTTCCTTTACTCATCCGACCTACCGGACAATATTTTTTCGAACGGCAACCGTACACAATATTTTTTTCGAGAGACGCCGGCGATATGTGGCTTAAACGACGGCTGCGTATACCTTAAGGATCCGGGGAGGACCACCTCTCGTCCCGGGACCCCGGCCCCTCTACTCCAGAATCGTACGATGCAACACAGACCTTATGAGGGCCGATCTGTTCTTCAATGAATAGGCAATGGAGCGAGAGCAGGGGGGGATGAGAGGAAAGAGAGCAGACGAGAGAAACCCAGAGCAAGATGCATTCCCAACTCCTGAACCCACTCTCTATCTCTCTCTCGCTCTCACTTTCGCTCTCTCTCTCTCTCTCTCTCCCCCTTCGCTCCATACGCGCTGGCTCCCCGCACAGACGGAGTAGATAGTTAGGCGACCGTCCCGCGGGACGTCTGAGAGAGAGAGAGAGAGAGAGTCTATTAACCAGTTGGAATTAGGTTCCATTCGGATAGGCTCAATTCAACATTTGCGGTTTGACTCTCGTCCCACCACAGAGAAAACTTTGCGCGCCGAGACTAGCGTTGGGCGCGGGGGTTCACCGGCTGCCGAAGGGAAGAGAGTCGGGAATGCGTACCGTAAGTCTCACTTATCTCGGATGCAAGCGACTCCTCTACACATTTAGTGCTCGTACAACGTTAGTCGTCGTTGAAGAATGAACGATTAAAGTAACTCATCGGTTCTGCTAAGAACGTGAGATTATTCCAACACGTGTTCTTATCTCTCCCGATGGGAGTTTTAAAAAGCGAGTGCAACCCCAAAACCATGTCTTGATGAAACTCAAAATTAATTGGCCTTACGGCTCGTCGCTGACTGTCAATGGTTTCAGGAGTTCTTTCATCTTAACCATTAGGTTTATTTATCCTAACATTCCTCAGGCTTACAAGTTTTTTCCCTCGCCTTTTCCTACCTTCGACAAGTGCATAAGATAATTGATGTCTGTAGTTCAGAAACATGATCATCAGCTCCTACACCATTTTGCCACGCATACTCCTCAAGATCCACTAGGATCATTCATTGGACCACAAGATTCTGTTTCTGGCGTGGTGCTCATTCTAGCGCACCTCCCCACACGACTCGTTACTATTTTTGGGTTATGCATGATGCGAATAAAGATTTAGTGACAACTTTATGCGTATGACAGCCGGATTTTGCACCATATTATAGCATAAGACCTTCCAATCATGAGCTGGTTGATAATATGAGTTGGGAAATCTCATCGAATGTGGATTTGTCATAATCTTCATCTTTCCTCTATCTTAGTAGAGGTGTCTAATCGAACCAAGCTAGTGATATAAATTGCACGCCTGTCTGACCATGGCAAAAAGCTTGATCATTGCGAATATTATCAATTTACACAGACCTACTGGCCATCTTTAAAAATAAAACATATTTTCTCTTTTAAATTGATTAAGGTAACTCCAAAAAAGAGGTCGAATGGGTAGAGTATTTATTTTGTCTAATGTGATGCATCACTTTTCTCTAATTATATACTACCTTCTTTTGCTATTGTAGGCAATGGAAAATAACTAGGCATCTATCTCATATCACAGAGATAAACACTTCGACAATTTATATGTGATAATATAAACATGCCTCAATCACCTTCAGTAAGAAAACATGTAACTGATCTACAAATAGGTAGGTGTCAAGATTATGAATTCCATTACATATCAAATTACATTCATCTTTCTCATCACGTTCAAACCTTTCATTCGGTAAAGTTTCTCATATATTCTACCATATGTGTGTTAGAAAAATATTTTGTCCAAGTACGCAACGTATAGGAGTGAAAAGGGAGGACACATGATATTCATTTATTTAATTGGATTTAGAGCTATTTTTTACAATGTAGTTTCCAAGAGAGTTGATCTCTAGCCGCACTTATCGTAAGTACACCGCCTGTACTATGGTTGATTATTGGCTCACATCTAATCTTCCTAAAGTCCTTTATGAGCTCACCACTAAATTTATGGCTTCAGAATTGACCATCGGATTCATGACTATAAAACTCTATGGCAAATTAGGTAGCAGACTTTATTGCAGCCATACATCAGACTATGGTAACAAAATAACAACAAAGAACAATATAAATGCTCGTAGATATATTTAAAGAGTCTAGGTTTTACAAGTGTTGGTGTTATGATTTAAAATAAAATTTTCAATAATAATTCACAATCAATAGAATATTATATAATCAAAATTTTCCTGGTTTATGTATGAGGCATATAAGTGCAATAATTCATACATGTTGTTGAACCTCACGAGGCAAGTGTTCTGAGCAATTTTGTGGAGGAAAAACGTCCTAACCCTCTGAAAATTTTCACAGATATGTTTACAACATCACTGAATCTTGCCTGTTTCAGTTATTATTACATTTATGCAAAAGAAAATACCACTGTGTGTACAACTGTGATATCTAAAGGTAGAGCCATCCAAAGAAAGATAAATCTAACGATGAGTATCTTCGATCTACACACTCATTCTAACCGTAATAAACACTCGACTTGATTGCATGAACAGACAATTGATAAGACAGGTAATAAATGCCATAAATAAGTTGTTTTAGTAGAAATGGCGGGTAAACTTGTAAATCTTCGCATGAATGAAAATCTAGGAAATAAATAATAAAATAAGTGTACCTACAGAAAGATATGTGTAAAACAAGGTCAGAATCAGCAGAAATGACAGGTAGAAGGGCTAATCTTATCAAAGAATGAAAATCATCGAAATAAATCGAATCAGTACTGAAGTGGAACACGACCGCGTCAAAAGGAAATATTGGTACGTGCATTGAGAATAACATAGTAAGAACACGAAGAGTAATGCGGCGACTGGCCGCTTATCACAAAGAATAATGACAAGGACCTATCTATCACCTTCTGCCATCTCAACAGGATCATCATGGCATTCTCGTTACAACACAGCCCTCACTGAGTAACAAGTGTCGGCGTCCCATTCTGTCTGTTCGTGGCACTGATTCTCCCAAGTATCTCCGCGTTCCGTGGGTGATCTTCTCATCTTGGTGTTCTCTCGAACTGCGGATTCACATGCGTCAGTCTCACGATCACGCAGATCTGAACGAAGCAATCGGGGATTTTACCAGTTGCTAGACAGCTACCGGCCTTTACGGCAAATTCAGTGGCCTCAGATTCAGTCTACGTATCCTTCCTAGTCCCCTAAGGCGTGCATCTCGGAAGACGCTTAGAACGTCAGCACCAGGACCAGGCAACAAATGGCTTTGGGGCGATGTATTTGTTTTGGGGAATGGGCACGGAAGATGGTGTCCTCGCGAATCAGATGGCTTCGCAATATGTGTGGGATGTCAGCTGCGGGTAACCGCGTGACGGAGAATCCTTATGAGGCTTCTGAGTCGGCACTTCGGAATCCATGAAAAGTAGTCCGTCTCCACAGCCATTAATCCATCATAAACGTGATGTTTGCAACTTAGTTCGTTCGGATTGCCTCGACGTTCGAACGTTCATGGGACCAAAAAGAAAAAAACATGTTTTCCTATGTAGGAATTTAAATATTACTCCTTGACCGACGATGAGTCATAGCGACGGTTTCGCAATACGTGGGCAACAGTACGATCGAAGAAATATAACCCAACCCATAAAATGCGAGCATGGAATTGCGGTTTCCGCTTTCTGATGGTTGTCTCAACTACCATCTTCCTTTCCCTTCTATTGACTGTGCAAGCATGTCAGTGAGTTTGTTACCATTTTAACCCCTCCCCACAAAGATACACTATATTGTAAATATATATGAATGTTTGCCCCCCAGCTCACCGATGGAAGGTGGGCTACGTGACCTGAACTTCATCCTCAGCTACAGTCTTGAACATCATAGGGCATGCTTCATGTGGTATTCGGAAGAGATCCTAGGTCATCAGCTTCTCTGCAAGGGGAGTTGAGCCATTACAACTACAAATTCTGTGATTCCTCGTCCATGCGAACGCAGTCCCATCTTATTGTGGGTATTTAAAGACGGACTGGGCATATTCTTTATATGCCATCGGGGGACGAAAGAGTTAGGCGGGAACTTCAGAATTCCATCAGCATTAAATAAGAGAGAAACCCAGACGGAATTCAGATTGGGATGGAGAGACAGGTAATGGGGTCCCTTAATTCAAACATGACTCATATGGCTGTGCATTAACTGTCGGAGAACCCGATTGAAAATATATATGATCTGATTTAACTGTCGGATGATCAAGTGACTTCTAGGATAGAGCAAAGTAGTAGAAGTAACATCACACATAGACAAATAACATCATACCCATATACATGGATCATATAAATGTATATAGAGGGGGAGAGAGAGCAGCTGCTGGAATATGGCCGTCGTGATCCCCCAGATGTACCCCAAAGACACGAAACTCCCGACAGGGATGGAAGAGGAGACCAAGAACAGAATGTGGGGAATCGAAAGACTAAGGTCTTGGTTACTCTCGTTTACTTTCTTGTAGTACGAAGGGTGTACGAGGAAATATGTGACTTGTTAAAGGAAGATGAAGCATTCCAAGGACACAAGGGGATTCTCTAGAGACTCTTTGGGCCTCCGGTCAGGTGGCATCGCTCTCCGCTGAGGCGTTGTCCACCGCCCAGATGCCCTCGGCACGATCAACCTGTTGGAACTTCCGATTTGGCGGACGTCCCGCTTTGGCACCGGGGAAATAGACCCACGCTCAGACCTCTCGCCCTTGTGTCTCCCCACTTCCCCGGCTCCACTACTGCTGTTCACAGCCTGTGGACGAAGCCTGCTTCTCTCCCGTATCGTCGACGACCTCAAATCCGGGCGATTCACCGGGGATGGCGTGACCCTATCCCTTTCTCCACCGTCGCGTCTGGCGTACTTCCGCGAGGGAAACTCCCCAGAGGCAGAGTGACTCCGATAGTGGCACGCCGACCTCGCCCCCCCCGACAATTCCCGGAGTGGTCTCCGCTCTGGACTCGTCCCCTGAGTCAGCATCACCATCTCCACTACCTTTTCCGTCTTATCCGTCAGAGCCGCGGGCACAGAGAAGCTCCTGTTGATGCTACACTCATCCGACCGGTTGACGAGTCCGAAGCCGGGTGTAAAGATAATAGGTTCATTCTTATCGCCGTCCTCCACTATCCTGGGCTCGGATACCTTATAGATAGCCGACGATCTCGGTGTCTCCGTAAGAACCTGCTTCAAGATCACTTCATCCTCTGGCAGCGGACGGCGGAGGCTGTCGATGACGTTCGGATCCATGTCGGAGGTGGGTTTAGACTTCTGGCTGTAGCTGTTGTGGAGACCCTTCTTGCAAAGGCAAGCGCCCATTACAGTCCACGCCCACCCACGGACTAGAAAGGCAGCAGAGACATGACGTGCGAGCTGAGAGATTCGTTACCCCTCCGTCCTCTGACCGAAGTGACGGAAAAGTACAAAAGGCTTGGAGCGAGCGACTGAAGAAAGCCCTCTAACTTCCAGAACTCAGGTGGACGTAGAACAAGAACTTTTGTCAACGGCGACGACTGACCGGCCCCGGAAAACACACTGACTGCACATGGGAGGATGGGAGTGTTGTAGGGGCCTTTCCAGTATCTGACGAATCTAGTCCCCCGAAGGTCGGTAGTGACCAACTCTGTGTCTAGCTCTGAGGAGCAGGAGGAGAAGAAGAGTTGTTAGGTGCCACCCCCGTAGAGGAACTTTTGGTACGATTCATGTCGAGGTGAGACCCCCACCACATGTAATGAGTGAGTGCCCACCCCAACCACGCCCCCCCCGGTCTGGAAGTAATGCTTCGGGCTGTGGCCGAAAGAGTGGTCAACGGTCGGGTAGGGAAAGTCCTATCGGAGAGCGATTACTTTTTAACAGTAGGGATAATCGGATATTATTAGCCGTGGTGACAGCGTTGTGAGGGCACCGGAGTGCGTGAGGCCTGGCGACGGCTTTTCATTTTCCCCGCGAGGGAGAAAGGCCTCGTCTGGTCGCCATCTTCACTGCAAAGAAGACGCCCGACGAGCTGATCCTCGACTCCCACCCCGCACCGCGGACGGCGCCGACGGGGCTGGTTCGTGCAGTCTCTCTTTCTCTCTCTCTATCTCCATCTTTCTCTCGATTTTGAAATGGATAAGGGCCTGATTCGATCGGTCCATCTGGCCCTCACCACGCGAGTTGGTTTCAGCTATCGAAAGACGAGCATCTGAATGCCCACCACTTGATCAGTCCCATCTAATCAAGGCACTAATGCACCTCCAATAACGACACCCTGATCATCTCTTACTTGACGAAAGAAGCCACTCCCGGAGGGCGCGTTACCCTTAGTCCTCCCTCCCGACGTTTGGTTTGCAGTGGACTGCACCGGACCAAACCCGTCGGCATCTTGAATGATTGAACGCACAAGCCCTCGACTGTCAGCACCGCACCAGCGGCTTGCAGAAGAGCGATAATGCACCCACGTGAGCGGATCTATCGCTCTCTCTCTCTTTTCATTAATGCCGCGTCCGCCACGCTTCGTCCCGCGGACGGTGGTGACGGCCGGCCTTCATCGCGGCTGGCGGCGCTAGTCCAGGTAGGGAAGTTTGCTCGGTGCTTACAAGCATTCGCCCGTTCAACAGTGGGGCATTTACTCCTCCTGCGCCGACCCTTCTCCATTTCCCGCGTCGGCAGGCGGCCATTAAGAAGGTGCAGCGGCAGCCAGCCTGTGCCGCGCCCTTTCCCGGCGCTCTCGATCTCGGCAATGAAGCAGGTGGTGGCGGTCAGACGCATGATTCCTCCGCCTACCTCCAAAACTAGTACGTCAACACTAACTGCCCAGGTCAAACTAAGTGACAGAGGGCACTTACGGGCCCGTGTTCAGAAAACGTGCCGAAAAAAAAAAGAATACGTGAAATGGCTTTCACTGTTATCGAGGGAAGCACTCACAGGATGAGCACCACAGACTGTTCAGGATGAAGGCCAGTCACTCTCTCTCTCCCGGCGGCGAAGCAAATCATGGCGAGGCTGGGGCGCGGGCGCGATCGGCGTCGATCATTGACTTTATGTAGAACTCGCCAGCCTTGTAAGAGGAGCGGACCATGGGCCCGGACGCCACGTACCGGAATCCCTGCCATGTGAACGACGACGAGGACGTCATTAAGACATGGAAGCATGAGGCATAGACAACCCACGCAGGGCCCACTAATAATTCCATCTGCCAGCCGGAATGAGTGAACAGGCCGGAGGGTTGGAGATGCCGTGATCCATTCGGCAACGGACGAAGAGATGCCTTAGGTTCCTCCAATGGCAATGGCCGCTGGCAGGGATGAGATCAGATGAGATCAGATGAGACAACTGTTCCGTCCGGTTGATGGCTGCTCAATGTCGGAGCAGAGGTTCGGACAAACCCACCAGTCTGGCTTTCAAGACAAAAGATACAGGGACTGTTCGCGACGTCATGAGGGGAGCTAGCCACCTGCCCACTAGGCTCTGCTTACTGGGGTGACGCGCTGGGAAAGAGCCGGATGGGCCTCCACCAATTTGGGGATTCCGGTGGATGAGCGAAAATGACAGAACAAGATAGAGAAGAGCCCAGAAAGTTGGAAAGATCAGCATAGATAACTGAGGGGGAAGTGAGGGCACATGATGGGCGGCGGCGGCGGTATTCGGCTCTAGATCTGTCGGAGAGTTAATCTGAGGTGGGATGACAGCGGCTCAGCTGCGAGACAAAATCAACTGCGAGGGGATCAAGAGCGCACAGAGTAGACGGCAGAGTAGTTGTGTATGGTGAAGTAACACCGACCAGAATTTTGTCCAGAAAATTTATTGGCCTCTCGAACAGTCAGATATACTAATGAATCTAGAGGAAGACGGCAACGCAAGTCTCCATAGTCAGCGGATGGCTCAAAGGAGAGGGGCAAGCAAATTGAAGGTCGTCGTGAAAACTTTTTAGCTTATATACACAATTATTCATGGGCAGCAGAAGACTTACCATTTCCACGCCGACGGATCGATATTTCTCGAAGGCTTCCGGCGTGATGTACTCGGAGACGGGCATATGCCGCTTGGACGGCCTCATGTACTGTCCGAAGGTCACGACGTCGACCCCCGCAGCCCTCACCTTCTCCATCGTGCTTAGAACCTGGTCGGGGGTCTCGCCGCACCCCAGCATGATCGAGGTCTTGGTCAGAGTACCAGCGGGAGCATAGCTCTTCGCCATTTTAAGAACTCCGATTGACTGTTCGAAGTTGGCGCGTCGATCTCTGACCACGCCCTGTAACTCTTCCACCGTCTCAATGTTGTGGGCGAAAACATCTAATCCAGATGTTGCGACCCTCTCCACGCATTTGGAGTCTCCTTGGAAGTCGGGAACTGAGGAGGACAGATTATACCGCGTCAGCAAGATTAAGAGGATCTTAACGGCGAGAATAAAGCCCGAAAAAGAAGCACGAAGAGAGATCTTGAGTCGTTTAGATATAAATGCGTAACACGCAGAGAGGGATCATGCCATGAACAAAGCTCGGATTATACTCGGCGTCTGTAGAGATGGATGAGAGACAAATAGTAGGCTTTTCCCATATGCTACTACCAGTAGGTCTCGCGAGTTTCTTCTCATCTTCTTTGGGTTTTCAAACATTCCAAAAGGGGACAGAAATGGTTTTGTGGTACCGCTCGCTCAAATGGATTTCCTTCATGAAGGAAGGCAATCACAGCAGGTGATATGTGGGGTGACAACAGAGCACCTGCCTCATCCTCCGTCTATCACGGGTCTGAGGCATAAAAATCGAATCAATCAAATTATAACGATATCAAGGAAAACACAATCATAAAGTCTTTGATAGCATCCCGATAGTGCAGACACAGTCTTAACCAGACAGCCTCCTCGATGCCATACTCTATGACTAGAGCCATTAACCTCCGTGCCAACATCCTCTGGGCTGATTACGGGGCGAGTCCCATCCATATTGTTTCATCTCCTTAGAAAGTGTCAAACGCCTACTCCACGTATAAATTTTAAGCTGGTCCACAATCACTTTTGTTCTTTGTGTGACGACGACATCCAACTCCTGTTTCCGTCTGCCTCGTTCATCGATACTTGTTCTGCTATCTGCAACCCATTTGCTTTCTTCTCCTAGGGTCCCTCGCTAAAATTACTTCCCAAGGTTGCACGTTTTTACCCGTGCTGAAATCATGCTCATCTCCTTCCCTCAAAAGTTTCCAATCTGTCTCCTTGAGCTGCCGCGTCCCCAAATCATTGCACGCTCTTGCCCTTGAGATGATTTCTGAGCTTCTCTATACATGGTGGAACACAGAAATCTGACTCGTATCTTAAGCTGTCTATTGACATCTTACAGGATAACCGCTTCATGCTACTTTCGTTTGGATGAAGAGTGTCCAGGTCATGGGATGAAACTGATCTGGAGCTTCCAATTTTATTCTTTTTATGAAATGTACAATTTTTTTTTACAGTTCTTTTTATGAATAACTCAATTTAAATACCTTCAACCCTGGAATCTGTCAGAGGAAGCAACTTCTCCATTGGAGGTTCCTGGAGAAATTACGAACAGCCAGAGGATAGGTTACTTTAAGTTCACTTTGCCTACGACCCTAGACTTAGCAGTCTTTTTAATTAAGATTTTTCTGTATTCTAAAATTTTTAGAGATAAGAGGACTAATTTCAATCTCAAACTACTCTAGCACCAATAATTATCCCCTCCCTTGGGAGAACCACGAAAATTCCTTAAGAGAACTATCAAAGGGCCAATCAATAAGCTATTCCCAATGGAAGGAGTCACAAGAAGAGCCCAAAGGCCGCGAAAATCCAATCTTTGGCATCATCCCACAATCAACTTTACTTCTGAATATTGCATCGTTTGAATTCATTATTTCACGATAACGGCCTACAAATGCAATTAACATGCATTTCTGATCATAAAAGGCCCTCTATTGTTCAAAATCAGGAAAAGAACTACCGTTCCACTCTATTGTCATGATTTTTTTTATATATTAAAATAAACAATGCACTCTCTAATTTTTCCATTTTCTTACAGTTTTTTACAATGATAAAAGTTATATTTTCTCGAAAATGAAGTATCGAAAGAAATAACTCATCACCAAATTAAATACAATCAAATCACATTTTTCAAATTCAAAAAATAGTAGATCTAGTTCCCTGAGTCAGACGATCACATTTAAACTAGATGACTTTATCAGTCTGTGCCTTGATTTCTTTGTGATATAGTTAGCAGATTTGTGTCTTGGACTAGATACGAGTTCAATAATTCCAAGTCATTTTCTACCGGTTGTAGCCCTTTAACGTCTTAGTGCTGAAGTTCCCATCACCCAAATCACAAAATTTGTGGTAGCAGTGATGCCCGCAAGTATTCAATGACTTGGAATTATTATCCAATTTTTCACTGAAGTTCCTAATTATAAAAAATAACTTTTGGATTACTCCACGCTGTCAAGCAGAAGTTTTGCATATGGATCATGAACTTCAAATATTCATAAAGCACAATTTAAATTCAGGCAAAAAAATAAATACACGAAACAATTCAGCCACGAAATGTTGTCAAAAACTCATTGGAATACAATCTCAGCAATGAGAGGATGTGTATATCAAAGGTCTGAGCAATTCAGGAAAGAGATTAAAGGCTACCATATGAACAAGAGCATGTTTTCCTTAAAGGAATACGACAGATAAATAATCAACAAACTAAATTCTTTCACCCAAGGAAGTACATGGATAGAAATGTATAAACTAGAAGGTGCTCACAGTATACAAAATGCAGATATTACTGACTTGGTGCAAAGTTAGCTTTCATTATGTCTCATGTCTTCATGAATTTTTGTTCACCGGTCGTTAACATCTTTCCCAACAATCTCTTTGGCATTTGGTCCTATAGGCTATGCTGGATAGGTAACTTCAATAATCCTTGTGCATTAAGAAAGTGACATCCATTCGTAATTGCAGCTTCAACGGTAGCAAAGACTAGAGAGAAGTTGTCGGCATTACATGCGTACATCAATTACAGGCCACGGTTGGGACAGTGGATCATATCAGGTTTAATCAGATGTCATAGGACCATGATTTGGTTAAAATCGAAACCATTTAGATTTAAAGAAAGTCAGTCCTAGCCTCGGAAAAAACAGAACTAATCATCAGATGAGATGTAAATTTGGCTGCCTCAACCCTGTAGGATCCTCATAACCTAAATGCCACGCCTTTTCTTTCTGTTTTAGGTCATCTGTAGAGGGCAAGCTGAAAAGTTTAGTACTAGCCAGAGACTAACTTTGTCAATGCTAGCTTTCCGGGCTTCAAACACAGCATGCTTACACTGGTGACTCAATCATCCCAATGCGTTGGTCCTTACAATCATGCAATTCAAAATCTCCCTGAATCAAGAAATCCCAAATTCTTTAGCCTAAAATATGTTCTGATTGGTCTTCCTTTGGAATTCGTGTGAATAGATGCACGTGGATGCTTATTCTTCGCAAATACATGCATATTTTCTCAAACAATTGACAGGTTCCATATCATGCTTGTGCCCACACTTGACAACAGTGTTTATATACTAAAGATCAAATGTGAATAAATTAGAAGTTAGCTGATAAACACCTACAGACAGGTATTGGGCCAGCCAGAATCCAGTACTTTCTGGTTTTCTTGGATGCCAAACCGGTTTCATTGCTTTCTGAGGAAGAGTCAACAGAATAATTTATGTGGCTATGGAGGAGAGATCACTTTGGGACAGATAAAAGAGGAATTCTGTCAGCTGCTTTCTGAAAGCTTGATGAACCAAAAGCCCCTTTAAATTGGGACGCATAGCACGTTGTTGAAGAAATATACAAGAAGAAAGAGCGAGGAAGGGGCTGAGAGAGAGAGAGAGAGAGAGGGGGATTCTGTCACCTGCTTTCTGAAAGCTTGATGAACCAAAATCCCCTTTAAGTTGGGATGGATAACATGTTGTTGAAGAAATATACAAGAAGAAAGAACGAGGAAGGGGTAGAGAGAGAGAGAGAGAGAGAGAGAGAGGGAGAGAGAGGGAGAGAGGGTAAGAATGGAGGTGCAAGGTGCATCTTGCTCTTCTCTTCGGTCATTGAAGAAGGAAAGTAGAGGATAACACATAATAAAAACGAGAACACATAAAATTCAAGAAAATAAGAAAAAAACTGAAACTCCAGTGGTGAAGTTATAGCCAGTGAAAGCCGAATTGCCTCTCTTTTCTCATCATTTTCTGTTCTTACAGTGGATTGCTCTCTCTGCATAAGCCTATGTTGTTGTCACTTACAATAACCCCGCCAAAATTTCCCCGCTATCAGGTTTCTCTACACTGTTCCCAGATAATGGGAACAACAAGGAATGGAACGGTCTGATTTCAGAACGAAGGACCACTTAGTGGCTTGAACGAGAGGATGCCATGCTAGAAATACTCTTAACTCATAAGCACCTGCACTAATTTGAAAGTAGATGAAACAAGCATTTGATCTGTAAGTAATCCGTCTGTAAATAATCCCAAGTATTGACCTAAAATAAAATGACAAATGCTGAATGCAACATCAAAAGCATTGAGAAACTCAGACATGGAAATAATCCCCAAGCATGAAACACAATCTATAGTGAATAAATGTCATACCAAGTGCTTCTATTAGCATGTTTGGCTTCAGAGCCTTCAGCTTTTGCACTGTTTCAGCAAAATGATTACTTCCTTGATCATCTAAATCATCACGGTCGACACTAGTAATTACCACATAGTCCAGACCCCAAGAAGCAATTGCCTCAGCAACATTAGATGGCTCATCAGGATCTGGAGGTGGGGGGGTCCGTGATGTCTTAACGTTACAGAACCTAGTCAAAAACACCGAAAAACATAAAAAATTTAGACTTGGAAGGATAACAAGAGAGTGTAATAAACCCAATTTGAGAGTAAGCTCTTCAAAAAAATATTTGAAGGTCTCCAGTGAATAAAAATTCGAGCACCATCATACATAAAATAGGAATTGAGATGAAACAGCACCCGCAGTACAGAACAAGAGTTAGAAATGCACCATAAATTTATAGGGCGATCTCATGAGGCGTTTTGGACACAATGATCACTATTTTGAAAAAAGAAAGCACGAGAGAGCCGGCCACTCACAGAGCATACTTAATGGGTCTTCTACTTGCAGCCATATGTAAGCCAATAATTCCTAAAATCTCAACATGCAGTAAATACCTAAAAGTAATTTATTCAATTGAGAAAGTCAACCAAAAAGTCAAGGAATGAAATTCCATCTGGCTAAATATAAGAGGAACAGGAAAAGGTCAACCCTGAAATATTTGTCTAGATACCCTCAACTCACATCAATGAAATTCATTTGGAGAAAAGATAAAGGGAGTGCAGCTTTTGATGCTAAGCCTGTAGCGCCCAAGCCAACATAAAACACAGAATTACTTTGGATTCTCCACCCGCATTCTCTACCACTGTCTACATAGCGTGAAACTTCCAAGGTGATTTCTTTCTCAATTAATAAAATCCTCTTACATTCATATCTCCGAGAATTCAATTCTTCAAATTAGAAGAGAAAAGTGGCATAATTTTTAATAGATTGGATCGTTTTCAGAGTCAAAGTCCACTGCATTCAGGAATACGAGGCATCATCTGGAAAAAAAAGTATCTCAGGAAACCAAAATTGAAACGATTGAAGATGATTTCCAATTCTATTTACACGAATATGTTTTCTTTCTGATGAAAAGAGGAGAATTGAGCGAAGTTTCTCTCTCTCTCTCTCTCTCTCTCTCTCTCCCCTACAGAGATTAGGACTGCGAAAAAGCGTAGAATTTTTTAAAATTCGTAACTGGCTTCTACACCACCCAAGATACCATAAGATTCCAGGGAGATCGGGCTCACCTACAGCCGCGAGTGCAGGTGTCTCCAAGGATCATGATAGTGGCAGTAGCGGTTCCCGTCTCGCCCCCGGACCAGCACTCTCCGAGATTGGGGCACTTTGCCTCCTCGCACACCGTGTGGAGCTTCAGCTCCCGCAGCTTTGCCTTGATGGCGGCGTACTTCGAGCCGCCGGGAATGGTTTGCTTCATCCATTTTGGCTTCGGAATGGGGTTCTTCTTCGTGCCCACCTCTACGGAGTATGCGAAATCGGAGAGGATCGGGGTCTCCTCGGCCAGGCGTCGCCGCAAATCGGCGAGCGTCCGCCCCGGGGCGGGGGCCGCTGGGATCCCCGCCGCTGTGGAGGCGGATCTCCCATCGGGCACCCCTTGAACCGGGGTGGAGGAGATGGTTCTCAAGAGGCCGGAGAGGGAAGGCCGGCGGAGGGACTTGGAAAGGTAGAAGAGGCGGGGATGCATGGCTAGCGTGGCCTGCAGGTCCTCTCGCCTCGCCGGTGTTAGCCTCTCAGCTCGATATCACCCACCGGTTCTCATCTCGGATGGGATGCGGTTGCGGATCCAATCGGATTGAACGGCATATATTCTCTTCTGAGTAAGCCTTCTGAGCCCCGGCGGATCCGCCGCTCTCCTCTATAGTAGACGCGGGGATCAAATCGATTTACTTTCTAGTCTCGTTCCCCTGCAATCTGGAAGCGTATTAGTCTGACTTAGCCGAGGATTCGTGTCCGTATAATTCAGGATCCGACTTTCTTCTTCTGTCAGCTTGTTCTGAGTTGACTGAATCAGAAAAGACAATTAAATCAATATCCTAAATTTGATGGGCGTTGCTTAGTGGCCAAATTCCTAGGTTTTTTTAGTATTTTATACCAAAATCCGTTAGCATTTAGATCAGTTACACAACCTGGCTTCTATCTTTGGGAACGATTTTGTGTGCATAGTTTGTTGATTAAAAAAATTTGAGTTCCTTTGGTTTATTCCAAGCTACTAAAAAAATCGTGCATCGTCTATTTATTAGACTAGAAACCACAAATTGCTTTAATATATATGGAATTAACAATATAATAAACCATTAATAAGGTATGGAAGTTATTTAGATGATTGAATGTTAGTTTTAAACTATTCTTAGACCAAGAAACAATTGATGGTTGGATGGATGGTCTAAGAGAAACAATGAGAGAGTGTGAATTGACCTCTTTAACCTCTATTCTCATTTATACATTTTTGAAAGTATGAAACCAACTAATCATAGTTTACACCACTTGGTCTACTCTACTCTGAAGATTATGTTGTTAGGTTTAAAGTCCACTTAAACTAAAAATCAGGAGGATTGAATTGATCTTACCCTAATTTTAGTTGTGGTCAATTATTTATTTTTTTTCAATTTTTAGTTTTGATCATAAAATCACTTGGATATCTTAGATCTAAATCTTGATGAAATAAATGTTTTTTTATAGTGGTTAATCCACCCTACCTTCGTCTACTTTTTAATAATATATTGTCCTTGTGTTCTACTATACAATGTTTACCAACAACGATTGATTACAAAGTTTAACTCCCTTAGACTTACAGCTATAGGTGGGCCAAAGCTGATTAAAAGACTCACCTCTCTTGAATGATTAAATAAAAAACTGACCACAATTTATTGTCACACAAGAAAAGAAGATATCATTGTTTGTGTTTTTTGGAATTTGAAGAAGACTTAAATCTTGATTGGAGCTGGCTAAAGAGGCAATTGAATTTGTTTTATTTTTGTTTTCAGAACTATAAATTATTTAATTGCAAGGGACATTATTGCTAATATCATGTTGAAGAAGATCAATTTTAGATCAAAATTTGATTCTCAACTTATTTACTTCTTGTCATTAGACCAAGCTTTAAATTTCACTCAAATTTGCAAGTACTTTTTTCCCAAAATTGTTAGAAAGAAATGTGAGATTGCAGATAGGTCAATGTGATTGTTCAGTATTATAAAGACAACCTTTGAAGAAAATTTGTATTATAGAGAACTTTGAGTTGTGCTCTTTCTCTATATTTCATCATTATTCATTGTAAAAATCCCAAAAATAGTTATAAATTCGAATTGTACAATTCATCTCTGAAGGATTTAGATATCTCACAAGGATAAATCAATAAATGTAGCAATTAAGTTTTAATGTAAGTATCTTATGTCATCAATTATAACATATCATATAAGAATATACAATCATTAAAAACATAATTTTAAATAAATCTCTAAGTAAAGTACTAATTTTCAAATTTAACTAAATCCAAATTAGCTAAATAAAACATGAGTATGATGTAGAAATAATGAATCTTCAAATCAATATTTTGCATCATTATTTATATGGACATATAACATTTTAAAAAGTCTAAAAATCCAATAATACTACTTGGATTCAATCAGCTAATAATCCATCAAAATTTATACAGCAGAATGCCTACAAATCATACACCTCTTGTTTTCACCAAACTTTCAAATCATTACTTTATACGCATGCAAAATTTGATTTTCAAATCTTCACTTCTCATAAGTGGTGTTTTTCATAATTACTTCCACAATAGTAAACAAATTAATGATTTTGAGCAAAAAATCAGCATAAATTTTAAATTTGAGCATCATATGCATTTTTTGAATCCTATTTTGGACACTAGACAATAATATTAGATATTTTTGATTAATTTACATTTCAATTAAATTCAAACATGCGTCCAAGAGATCACTCATGTTATATATATATATATATCTATGAAAATTTTAATATTATTAAATCTATTTATTTATTTTATGTGTGTTTGTCATCATTAAAACCTTTTATAATAAGTAAAGTTCCTAAAATGATTAATTTCCTTTTTTTATGATGTAAACTTTTATGAGATCAAGTCAAGATTCTTTGTCATTTAAATTCTAAAATTATATTGAAATTCTAGTTCTAATCCCAACTTTAGTTGTAGTGATTAAATCATCAATCAGCCAACTCCAAAAGCTTTAATTTGATCATAATTCTATAATTTTCAAAGAGATGGAATGAGTTTATTAACTAAGAACTGAAAATCGAATTTTAAAAAATAACTTTGAAGGTATAAAAATTAATTAACCACATCAGATTTAATTAAACATCAATTTCATGTAAAATCCTTGTTGAAAATATTAATATAAAATCCATGGAACATTATTTTTTTGGTCATTCAAGGAGAACCTATAGGAGAGAGAGGAAAGGTGATAGGTTAGAGAGAAGAGGTGAAGAGAGAGAGAGAGAGAGAGAGGGAGAGAGAAGATGAAATAGGAGAGAGAAGGGAGACCATTGGAGAGACAAAAGAGGTGATAGGAGAGAGATAGGGGGAGAGAAATAAGAATGAACCATAGAACGAGGAGAGGAGTACCAGAAAAAGGGGTGAAGAGAAGACTAATAAAAGATGTTGACTGGTAAACAATGAATGAGGGAGAGTGAGATCAATAATAAAATAAAAAATCATGATTTCAAGAGGATTGATGATCATGAAAGAGAGGATTCACCCGTAGAAGAAATCACAGATGAAATGGGAGGGGCAGAGTGATGAAAAATAAAAAAAATCACTTAAAATAGGAATAGAAGAAGGAACCTACAATGTGGGAAAAGTGAAAAAATGCTGGAAGATAGAAAAAGTGTCCAGAAACTCACCAGCAAAAGATTTTATGGTGACAAGAGAGAGATTGCCAGAAAATATGATATAGCCATGACGTAGGAGGAAAATGGGGATGATCTGAAAACTATAAAATCAAGTAGAATCACCTAAATTTTAAAGGGAATATCACAGGTTCTCAGAATTATCAAGAAAACACCAGCAATTGAAGACAAAAGGTTCTAACAATTTAAGAAAACTGCTAATAGGATACCCCAATTTTACTATGTAAGAGAACATTTGGGTCGACAAGGTATTGACATGAATGAATAGATATTGTTTGAGGGATGAATAGGAAGTTAGGCAGGGGTTGAGAGATAGGGTGATGGGTAGGATTATTGAGGACTGAGATTAATGAAATTTAAGAAGAATAACACTCTAAACTAGGAGTGATGGGATCCTCTCAACCAACTCAAGAACAATGGGATCAATAGATCAATGATGAAAAAATCACCAAAAACTTCAACTGAAAAAAATTCCTCTTCTCTTAAACTCTTGTGCTATTTTTATAGGCCACACAATAGTAACTAACAATAAAGAAAATTACACTTTTTAGAGTGTTTGTGATGACGACATGGGCGATGGATGCTCCTGGGCTGCCCTCTGACTGATATAGTTGAATCGTTGCCATCTTCCTTGCAGTGTTGTTCTGTTTGAGAATGGTTCTGTTGGAGCTGCTTTTTCTGTTCAACATCTTGACCTGGTTCACTCGTCTTTGATCAACTGATGTCCTAGTGGAAGACTCAATGCTGCATCAAACCAATCAGAGGAAGGGAGAAGGATGCAAATTAGTAAAAATTCAAAAGAAAATAAATTGATGAAGATATTGGATGTGAGATAGAGAGGGAAAGTTCTTCAGAAAAAGGAGAAAACTCATTGGCAAGAGAGAACATTGGTGAAAGAGAGAAAATAGAAATATTGATAAATAAAGGAGTAGAGAGGGAAAGAATGGAAGAAGAAACTTGAAAGGCAAGAAAAAATGAAGAAGTCCTCTTGTCTCTCATCTAAGATCAGAAAAAGAGAGAGAAGAGAGGAATTGGCTTAGAGAAATTAAAATGCAAAGAGAGAAAGAGAGAGAGAGAGGGAGGTGGTGAGAGGGTTTTTGCCAGAGAGAAGGATGATATTTAAAATAAGAAGAAAAAAATAATAAATAGGAAATAAAGAAGATAAATAAAGAAAGAGAAATAAAAAGGGATAGAATGAAAGAGAGGGGTTAATTGAATCTTATTCTTAATTTAAGTTGATATATTTATGTAGAAAGAATTTATAAAATCTAAAATTAGTATTTTCTAGTTTTATAAATTTTAAATTTGTGTGATTTAAATTATAACGACTAAGTCATGTGAATAAACTAATTTAAAATTTCTGTGTCTTTGGTGTTGACAAGAGAGTAGAGAGAAAATCTATATAGAGAGAGAAACTAGCTTGAGTAAACTTGTACCCAAAACAAAAAAGTTGAGTGAGAACATATGCTAACACATTTTGTTTTAGATAGAATATGCAAATAGAATAGAAATCATAAGAAACTAATTAACCTCCTGACGTGACTTAGTTGTTGTATAGTAAATCACGTAAATTTAAAATTTATAAAACTAGAAAATATCAATTTTTAAATATTTAGAAGTATTTCTAAATAAATATATTAATTATAATTCAATAAAAGTTTCAAAAATAGTGGAAAAGTTTTAGATCAATCACATAGATATAATATAATATCAAGTATTTTTTTAGAATTTTCCTCAAATAATATGATTTTTTATAAATTTTAGGTTAAGAAATAAAAATAAAATATATTTAAA